TCTGAATAGTACATAGAAAGACTCCTCTTCCCCTGTTTACAAGTGGATGGTTCTGCTTGTAACTGATAGATTTTTGCATAGTGACCCAACTCAAAATAAGTTGATTTTGCCTATTCCCAAATTTCATAAGCCGTTTTCAACCCAAATAAAGTTCCTTCTCGCTTGAGGTTGCATAAACACTAAAAACCAAGACATGACCATGATGTTTTCTTGGTTCCATCTATCATACTTAGCACTCCCAAAATTAGGTTCTTTAATTTTCCCATTTATATATCCTATCTTTCCCCTTGCAGTAATGTATAACTTGATCCCTCTCGACCATTCTAAATAATTTAAGCCATCCAGGGGGATAACAGCCATGGGAAAGGATAGATCCACACCACCAATCATTCCATTCTGCATTGAGGAAACACTAGATGTGGCAGAACCTTCACCACTCATGATCACAGTTTTAGGTCACTCTTAAAGTGGGCACAAAACCTTAAAAAGAGCAGTCTAACACCAAGAAAGAAAAAACACCTCCTTTTCCCTTCTGAAACTCAACTCTTTAATAAAAATAAAAAGTTGTTGTTATAGCACTAATAGGTAATCTCTTAACTTACAAAATCAAATATAGTTGTTGTACAGCACTAATAGGTCATCTCTTGACCTACAGAATCAAATATGACTACTATCGCAGCACATACAGGTCATCTCTTGACCTACGCATCAAATAAAGTTGTTGTCGTAACATGTACAGGTCATCCCTTGACCTACAAGTTCATCATAAAGGCTGTTGTTGCAGCATACAAAGGTCACCACCAACCTACAGCCTACACAAGGATCAACTGATCCCACAAAAAAGGAAAGAAAGAGGTGCTGATCACCTCACACCCAACAAGTAGACCTAGTACAAGTTTTGTCTTGGCACACAACCAAAAAAAAGGAAAAAAGGAGGAAGGGAGAGAAGTTACTTCAATTTGTTGTAAAAATAAAAATAAAAAAAAAACTAGATCTCCAGTAACCTAAACAATAGCTGGCGAAAAATTTGATAGTCTAACGCAAAAGAGGTCACTCGATCTTTCCTTTTAGATCTGATAGTCCTGTTCTGATACCATGTTATACAGGAGAGAAGAAGAGAGAGGAAAGAAGAGAGAAGAGAGATTTGAGAGTCAAAAGATCATGCTGGCAACGCCAGCTTTTAGTATTTATACTAGGGCGACAAAACATAAAAAAAAATAAAAGGAGGAAAATACAATAGTACCCTTGCAGTACTGTACTTAAAGAATAAGCGACTTTTAACAGTTTTTAAGGTAAGAATCATGCAATATATATGTAATTAGATGGTTAAAGATCTTTTGCTTTTGAAAAATTATAATTACTAATTTGACTGATTTTTTTTTTTGCTTTTGTTGTATTATTTTTTTCTTGTAGATTGTAGAAGAAAGAGAATGTAGATGGTGTCGAAATGAAATACATTTTCTCTTTTCTTAGAGTAGGAAGTGAATTGTTTTTTGTATTTTTTATTCCATATGTTTTTGCAGATGGAATTTTCTTTTCTCTTTGAATTTGTATCAATTAATATGAAACCATATTCAGAAACAATGGTTATCTTTTAATAGATATGTGAATGAATTGTTTTAGATAGCAAATTAAATGTTTGTATATAGGTTTACATAAGCTTTGCATATGATAAAACAGCTTTTCAAAACACAAATAAATGATCTTTAAAGACAGTTACAAGTGCCTCTAAATAAGACCAAATAATACTTTAGTGGCAGTTTTAAGTATTGCTATAAAGGTTAAATAGGATTCTTAAAATTACTTTTAGAGGCAAATAAATTTTTCTCAAATTTAATTAAAATGCCCCTAAAAATGTATATTTGGTGGCATTCATACATGCCTCTGTAAAATGCTTTTAGCGTCAGTGTTTCGGAGGCAAGATTATGTGCCTCAATATCTTATTTTTGGAGGCACTTATCAGATGTGCCTCTAATTATAAGTCAAGTGCCTATATAACATTTAGAGGCTAGACATTTAGAGGCAATCACCTGAGTGTCTCTAATTCTTTTTAGAGGCATTTTGTTGTCTTTAGAGGCATTTTTTGTTGCCTATGTAGGTGATTTTTCTAGTAGTGATAGCAAAAAGGAAGTTGAATTTAGAAGGCCATGCACCACTACCAAATTAATTTCTACCTTTAAAACTCCAAAATCCTAGAGTTTTAGTAGGATCAATGTATGAGACTGGTAAAGAAGCAAGTATCAAATCAATATGTCCTTTTTCTAGTCATAAATCCCAATTTAGCTATAGGAAGCAGTAACCAGCCTTGGAGAAGATTCATCCAAGTGACATAGAAACCAGTCATGTAAAGAGAAGCTACATTCTAATGATTATGCTAATCTTTCCTAGTTAAAGTGAAAATCCAGGGCATCATATAGAGACATAAGGAATATCCTCCTCATACACCATGTGAAGCAGAATAATTTCATTTTAGTTTCATGTAGCATTTTAACCAACATTTCTCTTGTATGAAATAGGTTCACTAGATAAATAAAATGATTCACTTCTGATTGTTAAAAATGTAAATGAGTTCATTTATTGAAATCCAGAAATGACTGAATTACAATATTTTATCAGCAATGAATGGATTCACCTTACATGTCATACTTGAATACTATCATTTTATTTCAAATGCTTCCTAACAAGCTATTAATAATTGGACAATTATAATGTAGAAACAGTCAAAGAAAAGTTGAAACTATGAAAGGTCACAAGGTAATTATTCTTATAGAGCATGAGAAACATGATTTGTAGGCTAATTAAGGGTCATTGCTTGGTATAGTGGTTAAATCTCCAGTCTTAATAACGGATATGGCATTAACAGAACAGAATGAAGAAATAGGATTCATGTAGCACCCCATATACTTGGGTTAAGGCTTGGATGATGATGATTGTATCCAGTCTATCCCTCCCAAGAACCCATAAATGAAGAAATAGGATTCCATTTTTTTAATTTAGCATATGATACTTTTTAGTTACATTCTCAAAGCAAATAAATAAGTAAACTAATAAAGGCACAAATATGTAATACCCAAAGGCACAGAAATGAAGTTTACCTGAAGGATGTATTCCATGAATAGTTGTGGATTCTGCTACCTGAAAATCCTCCACATCCTCTGCAATCTCTGGTGTCAAAGATTGCAAATCCCTTTGAACAGATTGTTTGTTTTGTTAACCTGAACTAGGAACTTATAACTTTAGAAAACACACAAAAAATTTACTTTTTGCTGCCAAATGAAATTTGTATTTCATAACAAATTTATATTTTAATAGTTCTGTAGTGCTTGTTTTTTGCAGAATGGATGTGAATGAGGAAGAAACACCTTTCTTCCTGTGATGTTCCAGTCTTCCAGAATGGATGCAGATTGATTGATGTTTGGATAGAATACAACATTGATTGATGTTTAGATGGCTAAAGCACATAAGGAAGAAACCACAAATGTTGAGCATGCCATAAACAATGTCTTGAAAATCGTAATCATATCATAAATGGTAAGATTATTTCTATTATTTATAAATGTCAAAAAATTAAATATAGATATATTTAAAACTATATATATATGAAAGTGACTTTATCCTACTTCTAATCTATGTATAATATATATGTAGGTATGTACCTAAAATAATAGAATTATCACTTATACAATAGAAGCCCGAGATGATATAATCAAGTTTGACTTAAAAGCCAAACAAATCCACATATAATGGCTTTTTAACCTACATATGATGGAAAATAAACTCAATTTCTAGTCTTAAATAATGTAAATAAATCATTTTCTAGTAACAGCTTAAAAAAACCTCTCTTGACAAAACTAAATATAAATAAAACATAACAAAATAGAGATCTAATTCTTAATTGAATTTATTTGAATCATATAAATTGTAAGATTTATGAATTAAATCTTAGGATTCAAACAAAAAACATATGATTTTTGTAAAATATGATTTGGACATAAGATTCGAATCAAAACCCTTGGCAGTCAAGATTCAAATCGTGAACCGTATCGTAAATCGTATGATTTTGACAACATTGGGCATAAATATAAAGTTCAAAAAAAATACATTCCTAACTTTTCTTCCTGTGACGTTCCAGAATGGATGCAGATGGATGGATGGGAAATAAGATTCAACTTTGACAACTAGAAGAGGAAGAAACACCGGAGATGTTGAAGAAACCACAAACCTTGAAGCTTGTTTTGGCGATTTGAAGTTTTGAACAAACCCTAAATAGAGAGAAGAGAACACCGGTGATGTTGAAGCCGGTTGGCAGTGAGAAGCTTGTTTTGGCAATGTTGAAGCTCAGTGATGTTGCAGCAAATGAATCTTTGGAGAGTGTGAGAATGAACCTTCAAACATCTAACCTCACTGTCACGGAGTCTGAGGAGAAACCTTTGAAGTTACTTTGATACTTTCAAACCCTGAAACAGACCCCCATTGATGAACCCCTCGACCCAACCAACCCTGACCCTAATGGGTACCCTCAACCCAAGCCCATCCTGAACCTTTTTCCCCTGACCCTGGTGAGCCATTCGACCCATATTGACCCACCACTAGCATGGGTGGGTATGGAGGGGGTTTCAAGGTGGGAGGGTCAAATGGGTTGGGTCAAAATTGCCAGCCCTGTAACCCAAATAGGGGGACTGCTGCAACTCTCACCAATATGGTTAACCCATCGGATCTGGCTTGCATCAAAACGGGATAAAGGAAAATATATCCACACAACCTCATAGATGTTACATCCATAAGAAGTTGCTTCAATTGTGCAAAGCTGCATGGTCCACCTTTACATGTTCTGTTGCAAGTGATTGGGGGCACTTTCACCAGCCAGCTTTAACAAGGATTATTACAGGACAAGCAAATGACAGTTCAGTTGGAATACTTGAAACACATTTTCCGTGCTGAAATCCATTCCAAACGTAAACAATGGACTCAGTTGGGCCAACTTGGATTACTTTGTGAAATAATAATAAAGCATATTAGAAAAGGGAACTTGACTAGAATATTTGGTCGTAGTACACCTTGTGAAATATCATATAATGTACCAAAATTCAGGTTGGCCTAAGTTCTATTGATGCCAATCCATGTTAAGCATTCGCTCTCTAATTTGCAATGAGTAGATTCATGAAGTTAGATTATTATACACATGTAACACAACAATCAATCTAATTGGCTGGCAATCGTTAACTTTCTTTCTTGGTACTAAATTGTGAACTTTCTTTCTTGGTACTAAATCGTGAACTTGACTATAGAAACGAACTCTACCAATTGAATTCACCAAAACTTTAACTTGATTCCAGAGAAATCTGCAATCCCAATGAGAGCAGATAAAACAATGGAATAGCCAACTAAGATAGAAAAGGCTGCAAATGTTGATTCTGAGATGGTATCCACATATAAATTTATCAACCCAGTGAGCACATTCGCCTGCAGGGAAAATGAGATAAACTTCAACCTGATGCAGGTATAGATAGATAGATAGAAAGATCTACATATAGATACATAGATAAAGAGAAAGGGATACAGAGGAAAAAGAAAAGCTTTTTCATAAGAAAGTAAAAGGAGATACCAAAAGAAATGTTCCCAGTAAATTCCGGTTGTATGCTTCTTCCAGTATTGAAGTGTGTTCACCAGGGATAAAATCTGAAAGCATTAGGATTGCTAGTACCTGGACGATTATGAAATTTTATGAGTACCAAAAATCCGGTTTGATCCAAAGCATTATACCTTATACTACTAGTACTGTACATTTCTATATCTGAACTCTAAGATCTATTTTTGGTTAAAAGAGAAAAGAAGAAAAATAGAAAGAAAACCAATTAATGATCATCAAGAACTACAACTAAACATTATAACAGGAAAACAATAAAAACGGGTGAGAGCATAAACTCTAAAAGAGGTGGTGAATCCCTGTCAAGCCGCAAACATCTTGGAGGGCATTAATGAAAAAATAACCAATTAGACAATACATATAATGATGTTTTATTATTTTTAACATTTTATGGTTCATATAATGTTGTTTTATTAGTCTCCTCACATGTTGACTTCCAATACCCAGATACCTGTACATACTTAGAGTATAGAAAACAGTAGAAATAAAAATAGTAGAGAAAGAAAAGATAGAAGAGAGATTTGTAAGAGAGGAAGAAGAGAAAGATGAGAGAAACCAATAATGTATGGAAGCAGTTTAGCTTTTATACTTAAGAAATAAAGATATATACAATGTCCAATATACCCTTAATAAGTCAAATACTGTCAACAACTTAAAAATCAGCAAATTAAAGAATTCCTAAACTAATGGGCCTTCGGCCCAACAATGCCAAATAAATAAAATAAACAAATAATTGTAATTCCTCAACACTCCCCCTCAATTTGAGAGTAAATATTACACATTCCCAACTTGCATAGTTCATGTTCAAGCTTACTCTTTGTAACTCCCCTGGTAAAGACAACCAACTATAATAAGTCAAAAAAACATATTGTAAGCAAACTTTTCCTAATGTAACCATCTCCCTTATGAAGTCTCTATCAACCACGATATGCTTCATCCTAACATGCTAAACTGGATTATAGGTAATGTTGATTGCAGCTTGATTATCACAATACAACATCATAGGTTCCTCAACAACAATTCCAAGCTCACTTAACAAAAACCTGATCCAAAGAAGTTTTGAGACACCATGAGCCATAAATCTACACTTGACCTAGCCACAACTAATTGTTTTTAACTCTTCCATGAGACCATGTTGCCTCTTACAAAGTGTAGAGAGACTGGGCCGAATGGGCCCTAGTATCTTTTCTTGTAATGTGTTATTTATTTATTTGTTAGCTAATGGGCTTATCTTTATGGGCCTGTTATTTCTTTTTGTTGTTCTCTTTATGTTACTGCCTAGCTGGCCGCCCACTTAAGGGCATACTTGTAATTAACCTAAGATTGAAGTTTAACAAAAGGATTAGAGAAGGGAGGGAAGAGATATTTGAGCTCTTCTTCTTCCTCCTCTTCTTTTCTCCATCTTCCTTTGTGCTGTTGTTCTCTATTTTTCTTTCTTCTTTCTCTCTAAATTTTACCAAGTTTATATCAGTTTTACGAGACTTTACATCTTGGTACATCTTGGTATCAGAGCAGGTTTCTTTTTTCTTCTTTTTCTTTTTCTCTTTTTTCCATACACCCTTCGATTAAGAGAGTGTATGGAGAGATAGGTTCTCTATAGTTCAGATGACCTTTTTGCCTAGTTGGTAGAGGGTTTGGAGAGTTGTATTCCGGCCGGAAACTGCCACGAAGTGATGTTGTACTGTTTCTGCCCAAAACCCTAGCCGATTTTGGTGTAAAACAGGACTCTCCCCCTTTCTCCAGTTCTTCTTGATTTTGGTGTAAAACCCTAAACCAGCTACAAGGGATTGCAATTCCACCAAAAAATCCAAAAAACTGGACTTACCTGAAGTCTTTGACCAACCCTTTACATTATCATGCAGTCGGCCAATCTAGGGCTGCACGACGGAGCAGCTCAAGAAATCTTTAAACTTGCTCTGATACCAAGTAGAAAAGTTTGGACAACCCGTTTTGATATAAAAACTGTAAATGAAAGAAGAAAAAGAAAGAGAAGAAAAGGTTTGCTGAGAAAGAGAGAGAAGAGAGATAGAAGAGAATGGGAGAAGCTCAAAATTAGGTTTGGCCGCCCCTTTCATTAGATTATATATACTCATAAATAAAAGAGAGTACAAAGACAAGTATGCCCTTAGTAAGTCGGCTACTTGTGAGAACTTAAAAAACACTCTTAACTTAAAACATAAACTAATGGGCCTAAGGCCCACTAACTCCTTAGCTATGCTATGTGTTGAGCAGGAGAAGAAGAAGAAGAAGAAGAAGAAGAAGAGGCTACTGAGTTAAGGCCTCAAAAGAACAGCTTCAGTCGAGTGAAGCATTTGTATTTATACTATA